TTGATTTGAAATATTTCTAGATTGCATTTTAGAAGTTAATAGCGTAAAGCATATTTCAAATGAGAACTAATTCTGTTAAGTTATTGTTACAGTTATTTTTATTGTATCCTCTGTTATTATTGATTCGATTTTGTTTAGCTAGCTTAGCATTCTAGATAAAATATAACATTATTGTAAAGTATAATTATATAACTATAACATAAGTAATTGGCATAAGAAGACCTGCCCCCTTAACCCCCACTTTTGAAAAATTAAATAATTCTTTTAGGTAATGTGAATAAAATTGTTTTGTCTAAATTAAGATAACAATCTTGTATTTATTTAAATGAAATATTGATGTAAGCCTAAGTTACAAAATTATTTAAAAAAAATATATGTTATTATAATGAATCGGGAGAAAAATATGCTAATGTAAAATTTACAATTAGGCTGAAACTCAAACTTAGATTAGCAAAAATTTTGCCATATATAACCATACACGTTTAAAACTATGCCAATTTAAGGTTATTTTTTTGATTAATTTTAAATAGCTGTTATTATAGTTATCTTAGCAGTAGTACAGTTCTCTTAGTTAACATGCAGATAAAGAAATGATTAGAAACAAACAGGCATTTAAAGAAGAAGAAAAAAAAAAAAAATCCCTGCAAATAAAAAAAGGAACTTTATGCTAAGAGTAGCGCATTTTATCTATTATTTTAAAATTGAGTAAAAGTATAGTACTATTTTTTTTATTTATTTTACAAAAGTTTCAATAAGCTTTTTAACGTAAAATCAAATACGAATCATGTTAATGTAGTGCAACATTCCTCCTGAGTTTCGGGAAATTGAAACTTTTTGCTGATGGGCGCAATGCGACTGAAGGCCGAAACATCCCTGTGATGGGTGTCCAGCAAGAAACATCCGGTCTTTAATAGGGGATATGATCTCCCCTGACTGCTAGGCAGGTTTCACAGCGTCTGCCCATGCTGAGAATGAGGGTGTCAATGAGTTGTTGAGGCATTGCTGCCCATTCGTCTTGCAGCGCCAATCGAAGCTCCGGAATCGTTACTGGTGGTAAGGTACGAGCTGCCAAGCGTCTGCCTAGAAAATCCCATACATGCTCGATGGGATTGAGATCCGGAGATCGTGCCGGCCAATCCATACGTTCAATATCCTCACTCTCTAAGAGCTGTTCGGCAGCTACTGTGCGATGACATGGTGCATTGTCGTCCATGAAAAGGAACTGCGGACCCATAGCGCCTCTAAAAAGACGCACATATGGAAGAAGAATCTCGTTACAATAACGGGTCCCGTTGACTGAACCTGCGTCGAAGATGTGAAGGTCTGTACGACTACCAAGCATGATGCCTCCCCAAAACAAGAACACCGCCACCTCCATACCTGTCCCTTTCAATGATGTTCGAGGGATGATTGCGGCTTCCCCGCTCTCTCCAGATGAGTATGCGATGAGAATCGCTACTCAGACTGAATCTGCTCTCATCTGTAAAGAGTACTCGTCCCCATTCATTGTCTCTCCAATTCCGGTGTTCCCGGCACCACAGAGAACGCCTTCTCCGATGGGCAGGCGTTAGAGGTACACACCGTACAGGGCGTCGTGCAAACAGACCACCACCGTGCAGTCTTCTGGCCACGGTAAAACGCGATATCGGTCGTCCAGTCGCCTGTGTCGTGTGTCTAGCGATTTCTCCCGCTGTCTGCCGCCTGTTTCTTCTGGCCTGTAAGGCAATATACCGGTCATCTGCGGGTGTGGTTCCTCGTGGACGACCACTACTAAACCCCCGGATAGCTGTTCCTGTAGTTTGAAATTGTCTCCAAAGTCGTGAAACGATGCTGTGAGCAATTCCGAACTCTGCAGCCACACTTGTCACACTGCGGCCTTCCTCCAACTTCCCAATGATTCGACCTCGGGTAAAAGCATCCAGATGTCGTCTAACAGATTGATTATTCGCCATTTCTCGCTGAGGCAGCAACTCGGTGTGATTTTAACTGCTATACGGCGTGCAATCTCTTTGCCAGAAATACTGATCTTACACCGACAACATGCTTTATACTACTCAGACACTCCCCCATTACGTCTACCTGCATATCTGCGCATGTGCTACCGTACATCACCTTACTTAATCTCCTGATTGGTCTTTCTGTCCGCTCTGCCTCTTCGTTCAGCTGATATGCTAATTTTTCGACTTCGTCCTTAATTTTTGCACACCAGTGTATATCGTAGAAGGACAGAGGGCATAGAATTTTAATTATCAATGTTCTGGAATAAAAATTTCTGGCAATAGCTTATTATTTGAAATCGGAAATATCATCTGATTTTATTTTTTGAAAATGCACACATAAGCAAACTTAATTGAAGACTTATGTTTTTGCGTTTTCTGAAGAAAAATATTCCTACTTCATAATCCAAAAATGCTGTGAAGTGCATAATATCAGAATTTCTAAGTGAAACATAAGCAATATTAGGTTGATCTTTACATTATGGTAACTTGGCATTTTTTTGGTGAAAATTTGGCGACCAACTCTCCTACAGCAACCCTCTATTTTTTTTTCCCGCCGCCATTTTGTCTTCATGAAGTAAAGACATGTTTCTTTTTTTTTTTTATCTACTGAACACTTCTTCCAACAATCTACTAGCCGAATTACACTTATGCTAGAAATTTTATCTAACAAAACTGCTTAATCATGACAAATATTCACTGCAAAATTGGGAAAAAGTGCACAATACCATACTCCTTACGCGTTTTTCAAAATAACACATACACATAAACCATGTACACGCCGACTTATTTTTACTTAAAAAAAATTCCCAGAATTGCACAAAAATGGCATTGCTCACACTCTTCACTATATCCATGTACACTGCTTTTTTTCTCATAAATTAGAAAAATTTCACGAAAATACATGACAATTTTCTCAATCTTTAAACCCGGTAAAAAGAACATATATGAAATTACCTGATCGCGAAAAAGTATTTACCCTTTCCAAATATGAACATTTCCACATATAAAATAAATAAAATATCCAAAAACCTCTAAATCATCTATTACATTATACAACGTCACCAACGAATTCATACCATACCGCAAGCATTACAAATACTTAGTATCAAAAATTTAAATTATTTCCATGCACGTTTACTTCAACTTAAAACGTATACCAAATTCCTACAAACATAAAATTCACAAAATAACTATCATTTAATTAAAATATCACTAAACCATGTACACGTCGACTTATTTTTACTTAAAAAAAAAAACATCCCAGAATTGCACAAAAATGGCATTGCGCACACTCTTCACTATATCCATGTACACTGCTTTTTTCTCATAAATTAGAAAAATTTCACGAAAATACATGACAATTTTCTCAATCTTTAAACCCGGTAAAAAGAACATATATGAAATTACCTGATCGCGAAAAAGTATTTACCCTTTCCAAATATGAACATTTCCACATATAAAATAAATAAAATATCCAAAAACTTTTACCTCTAAATCATCTATTACATTATACACGTCACCAACGAATTCATACCGCAACCATTACAAATACTTAGTGTCAGATATTTAAATTATTTCCATGCACGTTTACTTCAACTAAAATGTATACCAAATTCCTACAAACATAAAATTCACAAAATAACTATCATTTAATTAAAATATGGTTGATCTTTACAATATGGTAACTGGTAGTTTGGCGACATTTTGGAGGCGATAAAGGTTTACTACCTGGCATTTTTGGTAATAATGTGAGCAGTACTCAGTTCCGATTACGCATTATTTTTGTGTGAAGGAAATGAGAGATCATGGGATATGTCATGTGATATTAATGGACGAATTACGGTTCTTTAATCGGAAAAAGGGGGAAATCGGGAAAAAATCTGGAAATTTTGTATTTAGCTTTATTCTGTGTTGTGTGAAACAGTGTTCGTGAATTTTTGGATCCCATGGCCGTAACTTAAGTGAATTCAAAATGGGTGTTTATGTATGTATTAATTTAATGTATGTGCTCATTTATATTTTAAGTAGTGTTTTTGAATTTAATTATATTTTAATTAAATGATAGTTATTTTGTGAATTTTATGTTTGTAGGAATTTGGTATACGTTTTAGTTGAAGTAAACGTGCATGGAAATAATTTAAATATCTGACAATAAGTATTTGTAATGGTTGCAGTATGAATTCGTTGGTGACATGTATAATGTAATAGATGATTTAGAGGTAAAAGTTTTTGGATATTTTATTTATTTTATATGTGGAAATGTTTATATTTGGAAAGGGTAAATACTTTTTCGCGATCAGGTAATTTCATATATGTTCTTTTTACCGGATTTAAAGATTGAGAAAATTGTCATGTATTTTCGTGAAATTTTTCTAATTTATGAGAAAAAAGCAGTGTACATGGATATAGTGAAGAGTGTGCGCAATGCCATTTTTGTGCAATTCTGTGATGTTTTTTTAAGTAAAAATAAGTCGCCGTGCACATGGTTTATGTGTATGTGTTATTTTGAAAAACGCGTGGGAGTATGGTATTGTGCACTTTTTCCCAATTTTGCAGTGAATATTTGTCATGATTAAGCAGTTTTGTTTGATAAAATTTCTAGCATAAGTGTAATTCGGCTAGTAGATTGTTGGAAGAAGTGTTCAGTAGATAAAAAGAAAAGAAACATGTCTTTACTTCGTGAAGACAAAATGGCGGCGGGGAAAAAAAATAGAGGGTTGCTGTAGGAGAGTTGGTTGCCAAATTTTCGCCAAAAAAATCGCCAAGTTACCATAATGTAAAGATCAACTAAAATTATTATTTATAATGATATGCTTCTCTTCTACTTATGACATGTATGCTCTTCATTTGAGACCAGCAAATAACACCCACCCACAATACCAGTGCAATCTAAGTATGTAAGATAATATCAATATTGCAAATATTATGAAATTTTAAAAATATTTTTTTTTGTTTTTTCACTTAAAAAGACTAAAACATAAAACTTTGCAAATTACATACCTTATACTTCCATGGCTTTTTCTGCGCATAGGCTGAAAGAAAAAAATTCAATGGTAAGAAAGTTCTAAATGAGAAGGTGTTTATCTTATTTAATAAAAAAGTGATTACAGAAAATCATTTTGAATGTTTTACTGAAAAATGCACCTATGACTAAAGAACATCAATTTGAAAACATTTCAGTCTAATCACTTTATTTTTTTTTTTTTATATACACCATTAGAGAAATAATAAATTAGCATGTGGGCTGTAAAGGATCATTTTGGGAAGCTTTACAATTATATACGTAAGCAGCAACGAAATGAAAATTACTCAGAAATACTCATATATTCAATATATATTAATGTCTTTCAATGACAATGAATGTGTGACCAAAAAATATGTTAAAATAACCACACCTCAGGCTGTTAAATACCACAACTGAACTCTTAATTCTTAGTAAATGTTTTAGTTTGACAGTTAATTCAAACAACATATTATGAATTCTGCTTTTATTCTGTGTTTTTAAACATATATTTAATATAATATTACTTACTGCCATGATTTTTAGATTGTGAGGTGCCAAGAAATGACACCTTTGCATCACGGAGAACTAAATCATTATTTATCTTTTTCTAAACGTATTCTGCAAAATCAATACAAAAAGAACCAACATGGTACAATAATTAATCACAACCTCATCAAAACCCAAATTATTTCGCTTATAATTTGCACATTAAACAATGCAACAAAACAACACAAAAACTAAACGCTCCATGTAATTAGGCATTCAGTAATGCCACTACTGTTTCCATTATAAAAGAAGCATCTAACAAGTGCGTCTGCATTCCAATGCACGTATGATTGCGCAATTACCGCACACGTCTGAAAATATCTTCTCTTAATTTATTTGCTGTGGCTTATATTTTCACAACGTTTAACACTAAAAGTCTAAGAATTGCGGAATATAAAAATATTGACGAATATAAACAGTAAACATCTTTATACTGTTCGACTGAATTAAAATCACAAAATTAAATGCGATAAATATTTAATTGTAATAAACTGTGAGTTAATCAAATCTTGCGGAAAGATATCAGTTACTGAAGTCAATTCAATACAATATGCTTTTCCACTTCATTACATCATTTTCATGAAGGCCTTTATAGAAAGAAAAAAAGTCTTAATAGAGTGTCCTTGGGTATGCCAAGCAATAAATTTTTGTTCATACGGGAGCAAAGTTCTTCTAATACATGAATTTCTTAAAAAATGTACTTACTACTTAAACTTAAGAGGTTTTTTTTTTTTTTTTTTTTTTTTTTTTTTCAATTTTTATAATAAGAAGTGTGATGGCATAATGAAGGATAAAAAACTTATATATGTTATAATAAAAGCAAAGGAAATGACGGAGCCCTGCAGATGCGTAGTTATCCTATATTGAAGAGGAAGTAATCTGATTGCGTCGTAAGCTAATGTGTTCACTTCGTAAAGAACTTGGCAGTAGAAGCGATTTTAATTCCATTTTTATTTCCAATTGACATATGTGGCCACAGATCACTTGGCACTAGTCGTGCCTTTCCACACAAAATTTACATTTTTATATATTGTTAAGATAGACAGCAAGCCGGCGAAATTACATCTTAGCAGAGTAGAAGGCAAAAGCTGAAGTCCGTAGTTATGAAAGATAGAAGCACGCGAAAAGTTTTGGTTTACAAGGACAGTTTCAGTTCCCAATGATTACGTCATCAGAGCTGCGCCGATCATAGAGTGATCTAAGGCTACTATAAAGTATCTAGTAGCTCTAGTAGCTCTAGAGTGATCTAGAAATGACGCAATGCAGAGAAGTTATTACGATTTTAGAATAGAGAGGAAGAATTTATGTTTATAGTTATATTATAATTTTGATTCATATATTTTTATCTTACACACACACACACATATATATATATATATATATATATAGCATAATAATTTATTTACTAAAGAAATAACATTTACAAAATATATGGTGGCATAATAACAAAAAGCTAACAAGAGCAATTTGTAATAGTTTCAGAATAATTTTTTAAACTTCATTAATATTATTCCAAATAATAACCTGTATTTTTAATTGAAACTATTTCTTTCTGTAGCTTTTAAACATTCCGTTTTTGAACTGGATTAATTTGGTTACGACAAAGCAAACGAAAGCTGTTTGCTAAAGAAAGGAATGCCTTTCTGAGAGGCTTTCTGAATGGAACTGGCTCGTATCCATATTACATATGGGAAAAATCACGAAACCTCCCATGTAGGAACTTCCTTGAGGATTTGAATAATGGTCTATGTAGCAATTTTAAGCTATTTACCCGTTTGACCGCTAATGGCTCATAAGAATTGTTTTAATTATTAAACAAATAACCGGGCAATGACCGTCAGGTCATTAGGAAACGAGTTCTCCAATACTTTTAACAATACAATAAAACTTATTTAGTTCAGAACATTCGCCCAGTTCAGTTAAACAAATAAACGAGGAAGGTTCAAAACACCTGGAGGACACCACCCAAGGAGAGAAAATTTCGGGGTAGCACCCGGGTGCCTGGGGCCCAAACCCTACCTCGCATCGAATAATATAGTTTGCGAATGGTAGATCAAAATAACTTGTTACAAGTTTATACATAATAAGTTCAAGAAATGTATATACAAATATGCTTACATGGTATACTTAATTTTTTAAAAATAATTTTTGGAGTTTAAGAGAGGGCAAAAATCTCAGGTGTTGTGCAAAGGAATCTGGAAAGCTACGAAATTAGCTGTCGAGCTGGTATTAATCTGTGAAATGACATACATGTATACTTATTAAGCAAGTGTGAACCCAGAGGTACGATATGAAAATTAATGAAGATAATATATATGCATGATATAAATACCAAAAATTAGAAATAAATAAGTGAAGGTGCTACAAATACATATCAATTAAGGCATACAAGTACATTAATCTGGTAAGTTCCCAAGTATGGCCATCATAATCATATATCCTGATGACAGGATTATTAATTTGGAGCAGTGCGGCTGACTTAAAGCTGCTCTATGCGTAATTTCTCACGTACCACGGAGAATCAAGAATTACGGACTTATTTCTCACACTTCGGAAGAAAGACGTAGTATAAAGGTGCACAAATAAGCTGTACCAAATAAACTTGGTGGCAACTGAATGGTGTGAAAATATGTAAATTTTAAGATTGTCTTAAGTCCTTCTTTCCTTAATTATTAAAAAGAAATTTTTTTGGCTTTGGGTATCAGTTTTATCTTACTGGAATAGGTTAGTCATATATTTAATTTTTAATAATATTAAAGTTATATAAATTTTTTAAAATTCCGTCATTTTTAATGATTCATTTTCATTTTTTTGTACTTTTATTATATAAAACAAAATTTCTTCAGTTTGTAACTTAAATTTGAAATATTTATGCATAGAATTCTGTACAATTTAAAAGGAGATTTTATTTTTATAAATGTTTACTGTAGAGTTTTAATTTGCATATAATTTGAAAATTTAAATACCGTAACAGAGAAGACAGTTAAAGAGTAAAAGTTACGTTACGTGAAATTCTTGGGCACTAAGATCACGCATACTCTCAATTTGATCTATAGTGGCTTTTTCCAAAACATAAGTCTTCTCTTGCTGTATTTTGGTCTTGTGAGTTGTGTGTGTGTATATACAGGGTGTTTATAAAGTCCCAGACCCATTTTGATGTTTAATAACTCATAAAATAATAAAGATAGATTAAAATTAATAACATAAATGGTTAGATAGACTCAAAAAGTTTCATGACCCTTGTCAATGAACTTCCACATGTGCCCCCTTCGTCGCACGGAGAATATTAAGTCGATATTCAATTTCACACCAGGTACCGGCATCCTCAGAGGCTATTGCAGTTGTAATTCTGTCTCTTAGGTCATCAATGTTCGACACTCTCCTCCTGTAAACGTCCTTTACAAATCTCCAAAGGAAAAAGTCTAGCGCCATTATATCAGGTGATCTGGGAGACAAAGGAATTGGACCTCCTTGCCCAATCCATCTTCTTGTAAAATGGTCATTCAAGGAACTACGAACGATGGTGCTCCAATGAGGTGGTGCACCATCTTGTTGCAAAAAGACGTGGCTGAAGCTCTTCTAGTTATGGAAATACGTAGTTTTCCAGCATGTCTAAGTATAAGACTGATAAGACCATATTTTCTGTAAAAAAGAAAGGCCCAATGACTCGGTCGTGCATTAGTCCACATCACACATTAACCTTTGGGGAATCTCTTTGTGCCTCACGGTATTCATGGGTGTTTTCAAATCCTCATAACATTGCACTAGTTGCCAAAAACAAAAGAAAGAAAAATGCAATTAATAAACAAACGATATTTAGAAAAGTACAGATATTTAGACTGGAAAATAAAATTATCTGAAATTAACCACAGGTGCAGACGATATTTACAAAAGTAAAGATATTCAAACCTGAAAAGGAAAATATATAAGTTATTCCATCAATAAATGCCATAAGTTTGTTTATATCTTCATTATTTTATGAATTATTAAACATCAAAATGGGTCCAGGACTTTATAAACACCCTGTATATATATTTGAGTAATATATATATATATGTCTTCTGTCTATATGTATATATATAGACAACGATCTTGGTTTATGCATATTTATTGTGTTTTACTCAAAAGAAATATTTCTAATGTATTAATGATAACTAGTTTAATTAATAAATACTATATTTTCCGTTTTTGTACTTTTTCTAAGCATTTTATTTTAACTTATAACTTAATGCATCCTGTCCATTATTAATATGATACTAATGTACCTACCACCGAAGTGTAATAACAAAAATAAGCAGTGTATGTAAAATATGCAGTACAAAAATTAATCTGAAATTTTTACAATTTTTTAGGTTTAACAGTAGGTTAAAATTTTTCTGTTCTATTAGATAAATAATTTAAAAAGTCTTTATTGTTGTAGGTGTAGTATAATACTAAAATGTGTCTTAGGATAATTCATAAAGAAATTATTGAGATGCTCTTTGACAGCTTCCAAAAAGCAATCTCCAAGCAGCTGGTCAGAGAATTTCGAAGTGATCTAAAGAGATGAAAATCTGAAGTGGCAAGTTCTAGTGAATATGAGGGATGACACAAAACATCTCATATGTACTCAGTGAGTCTTTGTGGGGTGTTCATTGAAATATGGGTCCAGGGAATAGTCATGATGAAAGACAGTACTTTAACAATAGGTCAGTTTTGGGTGCTTTGATTTCTGCTTTTAAAATTGCCATTAGGGAACGATATTTTTCTGAATTTATTGTCTGATTTTATGGCACTAATTCGTAATGTACAATTCCTTTGTAGTCCCACCATGCACAAAACATTACTTTGTTGGAATGCAGTCCTCCATCTCAGTGTTACTAAAAGCTTACCCCATAATCTCTTTCTTGCAATATTATCGCATAGTATCTACTTATGTCCAGCAATGAGCCATTTCAAAAGTGGGGCTTCTTTATTTCTTTTCAGCAAAGAAGTACATGTTGAAATTCAAGGAAGGATATTTTGCTCTGTTAACGTATGGGGTATTCATACATGATAGGAACTTACATACCCACTCTTCTGTAAATGATCATGTACTGATTTGTTTGGAATATTTTAGTGTGTCTTATAGTTTCTGAACAGTATAATGTGAAAAGCTATTTTTAATAGGCCCTTGTTTACGAAGGATAGTCCTCCATAGGTGCATCGTCGTCAAGGCTGAAATTTCCATTCATTTAAATTTTTTAATGATTCATTTTAATTTTTTTGTACTTTTACTATATAAAACAAAATTTCTTCAGTTTGTAACTTAAATTTGAAATATTTATGCATGGAATTCTGTACAATTTGGAAGGAGATTTTATTTTTATAAATGCTTACTGTAGAGTTTTAATTTGCATATAATTTGAAAATTTAAATACCGTAACAGAGAAGACAGTTAAAGAGTAAAAGTTATGTAAAATTCTTGGGCACTAGGATCATGCATACTCTCAATTTGATCTATTTGTTAATTTCAGATAACTTCACAAACCACCTTTGAACTATGTCATCAGAAATTGTACTTTGTCCATATACAGCACAAATTTTACAAACAGAATATCTAGCAAAACTTTTCCTTTTTAAAAAATAAAAGAGCATAATGCACTAGCGCGAAAAACTTAAGCAATAAAGTCTTATTTTTCAACTTACAACCATGAAATTGTTGAAAAGGACATTTTGTGATCAGTTTAATAAAAAGCCAATTCAGTAGACAATGATACATATGCAAATATCAACACCATTATATCAAAAGTACATCAAGGTATGCAAGTGCGAGGAATCGGTGAGTGCAGTGCAAAACAACTTAAGAAGAACAACCATTTTCAGGCATTCTTCTGCAAGTGAAAGTGAGATTGTACGTGCAGTGTGGCTACAAGAAAACATAAGGATGTCTTTACACATGGTAGAATTGATTGGCAAGCCTGAGGAGGAGCATAGTTAATGTCAATTGCCCAAGAGTTTGGAATTGAGAAAAGTCTTGTTTCATGAGTTTGAAAGACTTTACAGACGACAGGTACAGGTGTAAGAAAGGTTGGTGGTGGTGTGCCAAGGAAAGCAGTGGTGATTGATACTGATATATTGCTCTGTGGATGAAAAGAGATCAAAACCAGAGAGCAGCCAACATTGCTCAGGAGCTGGGCACAGCAACTTGACAACTGGTGTCCCGGTTTAACGAGGCCAAATTCATAAAGGTGCCCTATTCACCTGCCATCCTGAATGCTACTGTTGACAGCAGCCAAACAACAGCACTATTTACAGTAGTGTAGAGAATACAAAGATTTGATACCAGATCAGTGAAGTTTCATCCTTTTTAGTCGACATATGTCTGAGTCATTTCAGTCTGACAAATGATTCTTGGTTTTTGGTGCCAGTTGATATGGAAGGAGGTAGGAACATGTTTTCATCCCACTAACATCAGGGAAAGCTACTGGGGTGCTCCTGACATGCTTGTATGGGAGGCATTACGATGAATAGATGGATCGAGATTCACTTATCAAAGATCATTACTGTGATGAAGTAATCCTCCCTCACATCCATCTTTTTCGGCATGCCGTTGGTTCTGATTGTGTTTTTATGGATGACGATGCATGGCCACACAAGATTCATGCTGTTGAGGAGCTCCTAGAAAATGATGATATCCACAGAATGGATTGGCCAGTGCTTATCCTTGATTTAAATCCCACTAAACACATGTGAATACTTTAAGCCTGGCTGCATGATGTTGAAACAGATGCTTCTTGAAAAATGGGAATTCCTACCTAAGAACTGTTAAATAATCTGGTGTTGATTATTGACAGATGGTGCCGTGCAACCACTGCAGTTAGGGAAGGCCACACCTCTTACACTAAGGCTGTTTAGTTTGTTTCCTTCTCCAACAAGTTCTTTGTAGCAGTGTCATTTTGTCAATAAAGTATATTTCTGTTTCTTTCATACTGTATGTATCCTGTTCATTTTTTTGCTAATCTACTTTTCTTGTCTTTTAAGTAGTATATTATGCCTTTGTAGTATGGATTTCATGTCTCCCATTAGGTTTTTTTTTTTTTTTTTTTTTCCAGTTGCAGCCAAAATTATAAAAGTTGCTTATGTTTTGCACGCTAGGTGTATGATAAAAATGAGCTTTTGGGTTCTTCATTCTTAACATGCCACTGGAAAAAATAAATATTCCTCAACACTTGCTAGAATTAGGCAATTTGAGCAGAAAGGACTGTATTTAAACATCTACCTCAAAGAAACTCTTCGTTAGTGATAACACAGAAATTACAAAAGAATGTACTGAGATCTGAAATTCTGTGAAACTTTCTGGATGGCTCGATAATAATTAAGAAAAAAGTTTCTCTGTTTTTGTGCATTTTATTCAAATTGGATAACATAATTTTTTTATATAATCTTATTTATTTATGAAAATCGGTGTATTTTTAAATGTTCATCTGAGATTTTATTAAAAATTAACCTCATTTAAATTTTATGTAAATTTATATTCAAAGGCATTCTATATTAATCTAACCTTTTTCATCCAGAAATGTTGTCAAGTATAGTCAAAGACCATCAAGCAAAGCAGTCAGCGAAAAGAGAAGATTTAGGTACCTATCTATTTATATTTTCCATCTGACTAACATGTGTTATGTGTGCTATGATAGAAAATGCATAAATAGGGCTATTATGTATAGAAGCAAAAAACTTTTTACGTTACCCACTTACTCTAAAATAAGATTCTGGATATTTTAATCATTCATCTACACATAATACATCATAATGTTTTTTGTTCTTACTTCACACTGCTTCAGCAAAATTCCTTAATTATTTTCTAAGGCTCAAAGATCTCTCAATCAATAGGCACTCCAAATTTTCCTTGCATTTTGACAATTATAACCAAGTAATTCATATGCTGTAAATATTATTCAGTAATTCATATGCTGTTAATTGATCTATGGTTTCGGATTGCAGTAATATTGAAACAATGTTTAGGAATTCTGAAACTTCATATGACTCGTATATTATTAAAAGTAGGACAGAGTCAAATGTTTCCAGTTTTTACTGTAGTTCTATTGCTTTATTCCTTACCTTTTTTGGCTAGTCAGAACTTTGCAATTGAGACATTACACCACATCACCAAACCTGTGCATATACTGGATTGCATCTGCCAGCCCAGCTAGTTGGGTTTAAAACTTTGGTAAACGTATATTTTAGGCTAACACTTGGCGATTTTTGGCAGTACATGGATACCGATTTTGTGCAATTCTTTGACTTATTATTTTGGCTTGCATAATGGCAATTTTTGCGCCAAAAAATCGCCGCTACACAAAGCCAAAATAACAAGACAAAGAATAGCACAAACTCGGTATCCATGTACACATCGACCTATTTTCACTTTAAAAAAATCCCAAATTGCACAGAAATGGCATTGTGCACTCCCTTGACTTTATCCATGTACACGTCGACCTATATTCACTTTAAAAAAATCCAAGAATTGCACAAACTTGCATTGTGCACTCCCTTTGTCCATGTACACATCGATATATTTTCACTTAAAAAATCAAAGGAGCACCCAGTTCTGCAATGCAGGCCAAAATAAAAATACATAATCTCAATAAACTACATTTTAAACCAAAAACTAAAATAACATAAAAAAAGGAAAAAACATGTTATACATTTAAGCACTACAAAAAGCAAATATCCACTTACCCTATTTAGAAGTTCCTTTGTCTTTAGTCTGTGGCACACAAAATTCCTTAACAACATCCAAAAACTTCCTAAAATTATCTGAACTCGAATCCGTATATCGGTGTCACCACATATGAACCTTTCTTTGTACAAACCCATTCAAATCCATCTAAATGGTTTTTACGTTTGACTAGATGCATATCCTTCCTACATACAGGACAAGTATAATGGCTATTAAGTAAACCTTCATTTACACATCAGTCAATTAACGTTCTTTTCTCCCTTCATTCCAATTTGTACTGAAACTTCAAATTACCGTAATTTCCGGAAGAAACGCCGCGGCGTTTACGTGTTTAAAACTTAAATTTTCAGTGGGTGCAGCGTTTCTACCCATGCGGCGTTTAGGTGCACTAAAAATAAAATATTTCCTATGATGGTCATTGTACATAGTTTGGATGGCCTTGTCATTGTGCATAGATTGCTACTGTTCCCACACAAAAGACGACTCAGTTGCTTTTTGCGAACATTATTTTGTTTACATTCTTTCCCTTGAACGGACCTACATGCCTTATTCACCCTAAACGAGATCTCAGAACAATAACATTCTTCCCCCTTTCAAATTAACATTCTCATCAGTTTGAATAGTCTCTCTCCTTTGCCATTCGATGAATCTTCCAGGACCCATTCTCTTTCCACCCCTGCCTTTTCTGCAATTTTTTTCAAAGGCGGACACAACTCCACCTGCCTCGCAATAACGAACTCTGACGTATTTCCTCTTCAGCATGAATGGATTTTTCTTGGCATTCTGCCAAATACAGATCCTATCAGTTAGGGTACAAGTACTTGTTGGACAGTTTTTAATTAGGGAGCGGAAAATTTTTGAAAATGTCTCTAAACGGCTATACATTTCTTACCTTTAATTTATTTTTGAATTATGGTTTCATTTCATGCATTTTTCTTAACTGGTATGTCATATATCAGGACTTAGGTTGAGTTTTTGCATCTATACGGCCCACGACGATGTCACGCGCAATCTATTGCGGCGTTTCTGTGTAATTTAAATTTTTTTCCCGCCATTTTTCTCGAGTGCGGCATTTACGCTGATGCGGCCTTTCTTCCGGAAATTACGGTAATCTTACTGCATTCAGCCATCCTACTGTCTAAATAATAACCCCCCCACACACAAAAGCACTTACAAAACATCCCATGATTCAAAATTTCCCAGAATCATGCACCCGATTACATCATAATAGGGTTCAACTATTCAGGCTACCATAAATGAAACAACAACTTGACAATAAATGAAACAACAACTTTGCCATAATACAAGGGGTATCTTAAAGCCTACTCTAACCAAAACTTTTAGTTATATTTGCATGTTACACCATTCACTATGGTACACTGTGAAAAAAAAAAAAAAAAAAAGGACAGTTCCACATCTCCAGTTCTATTCGGACGATTGACGAAATTCAACTTGCATTTTTCATGTCTCAATAGCACGACTTAGGATATGTATTAGATTTATATATAGCATTGTTCTGATATAGGTAATTTGACACAAAATTGGACTTCCGGATTGGGGTTTTTCCAGATATTAGATCATCAGTTTAAATTTAGTAAGATAGCATGTAGAAATTATAAACTTAAAAGTATGAAATCGTGTTTTATGAAATAATGAAGTGTTTATGATCTAAAGGGTATCAAAATTTACAAAAAACCTTAATATTTATTTGTTTACCTTATAAACATTTCTTTCAACAAGTTGTTTAAGTTGCTTCGTTTTTTTGTGCTAATACTTTCTCTCTAATTATGTAGAAAGACATAATCTCGTGTTTAGTTACATTGTTGAAGAAGTCCTGTAACTGCTGTTTCGAGAATTCCGACTCACTTGTCAATCGAAATTTTCTCGTTTTCAGTAACTTCTCTGGTGGTGGTTTCGAGGTCCAGATTTTAGATCATTCCGGATAATGGATGTCCGGATTTCGGACTTTCTACTACAGTCAAAAGTCGTTAATTCGGACACCCATAATCCGGACCTCAAAGCTAAAAACTTCCTGCGCATGCGTCACGTTCACATATGCGCATAGGCATTTACGCGTGCGCGTAAGACCTTTACAGCTGCGAATATACGTGTGCGCATGTGCATAATATGTTTACGCATGCGCATTTAATATATAACGGACTGTATAAGCTAAGCGAAAATTATCTAATTCAGTTAATGTTGCAGATTGCGTTGTTCCTTAATCTTCAAATTGGATCCGGCTTATTATTTTTTGTCGACTGTTAGAGCAATTTTATAAAAGTAAGCTTGAACTTTCGATTATGTCAAATATAATTTCCAATATATATTTACTAATATGTAAAGGATCTACAAAGTGAAATTATGTTTCGATGTCCATTAAACAGAAAGTGGAATTATTGCAAAAAATGGATAAAGGCATATCCTTTGATTATCTAATCATTCCAAAATATGTTTCAATTTCATGCTGCTCTGCGGGGGGGAGTGGAACGACGTGGCACACAATGAATTGGAAGTTGATCTGTCAGCACTATCCTTATCTTCAGGGTAGATGTTTTTATTTTATTTGGCTTATAATTCTTTACTAAATGTAGTATTTCATCTTGATGCACTCGGTCTTTGATATGATTTAAATCAAGATCTTCATCATTATAATTCGCTTCCGATAGTAAAAGAAAGTGACACAGAGTTATTGAAAACGAAAAAATTTCGATTGACAAATTAGTCGGTATTCTCGACACAGTATTATAGGACTTGAACAGTGGAACTTTGTAACTAAACAAGAAATTATGTCTGTTTTAATAGAATTAAAGAGAAAGTATTATCACATGAAACGAAACAACTTAAACAACTTAATTAACTAAAATTATAAAATTAAAAATATGAAACCATAATTTATGAAATAAAAAGCAATTATGGATCTAAAGGGTATCAAAATTTACAAAAAAAAGAAAAAGCTTAATATTTATTTGTTTACTTTATTAAACATTTCTTTCAACGCGCACATGCGTAAAGCATACGTTACACATAGTCGAAATTAGAAAATTGCAACCAGAAAACTATTTGATGTGTATTCGTGATATTTATAATGACAAGGAATTTGATTTAAATCATATCAAAGACGGAGTACATCGAGATGAAATACTACATTTAGTAAGGAATTATAAGCCGAATAAAATAAAAACATCTGCCCTGAAGAAAAGGATAGTGCTGACAGATCAACTTCCAATTCATTGCGCGCCACGGCATCCCTACGCTGCAGAGCAGCATGAAATTGATAAACAGATTTCGGAATGGTTAGATAAACAAAGGATATGCCTTTATCCATTTTTTGCAGCAATTCGACTTTTTGTTTAATGGACTTTGAAACATACTTTCGCTTTGTAGATCCTTTACATATTAGTAAATATATATCGGAAATTCTATTCGACATAATCGAAAGTTCAAGCTTACTTTTATAAAATTGCTCTAACAGTCTGCAAAAAATACTAAGCCGGATCCAATTCGAAGATTAAGGAACAACGCAATCTGCAACATTAACTGAAATAAATAATTAGATTAATTTTAGTTTAGCTTATACCGTCCGTTATACATTAAACGCGCATGCATAAACATATTATGTGCATGCGTAAGCATATTATGCGCATGCGTAAAGGTATTGCAAGCATGCATTAACGCATGCGCAGAAAGTTTGTAGTTTTGAGGTCCGGTTTATGGACATCTGGATTAAAGACTTTTGACTGTATACAGTACAAAGTCCGAGATCTAAACGTCCAATATCCAGAATGATCCAAAATCCGGACCTGAAAACCACCAACATTTTTTTTTTTTAGTGCTTTACGCATGCACATTTGATTTTTCCCCCATAAATATAACATGTGAATAGTCCCAATTCTTAAT